AAACAACACAGATATTTAATCAATTGTACAATTAAACAATAAATAAGCAAATTCTTCCTTATTAGAAGCTTAAAGAGCCCATATTCTGCCCTTTTTGGGGTTTGTATATTTAATGTATGTACCTACTTTTGTACGTTCACAATAGCTGAAGTTTGAAAAAGTGTCTGTTTTCATGTACTGCTCCTCCTTGCTCCCTCTCTGCTCTGAGTCCATCAGCTACACTCTGTTGAGCCCACACTGTTAGACCCCACGTGGGCCAAGTCTGCTCTGATTGGTCTGCCGATCCGCTCTGTCGTTATTGGTCAGTTGCTCAGCACGCTTCTCGGAAATTTCAACATGAGCTGCAGGGCCACAACGAGCCAATGGGCTTAGATCAGTGATCTCACACTGACAATGACGCCGCACTGACAAATTTTTATCGAGGGGGGCTAGAACCGAGCGTTACATGCAGCTGATGCTACAGCTAACAGGAGGACGTAGGAGAAGCCGCGTTTATGCAGACTTTGAATTTTTGCACATAGATGTGTCTAAACATGCACAGGACACTTGGAAAACACACTAAAGAGCATATAAAACCAGAGGAAGAAGAATATGGATATAGACCTTTAAGAAACAAACAAAAATTGGCTTCACTTTTGGAAACAACGACTGACCCATCAATGTAATTAACCAAACAGTTGCTAAAAAGTTGGTGTCAGTTTATGCATTAAAAATTGCATTCAATGAGTTAGACACTGAAACTAAATTGACCTTTTTATACTTTAAATATCGAAACAAAATGTCTCAATTTACCAGACACATTTGTCATACATGGTCAGGTCTTGTTTCCATATTATTTGATCCCATATTTAGTTCAAGTTTAAGCACGGCTGCTTGTTATTTATTCAATATAAAACACCAGAAAAAAAGTTTGAACTCCTAAACCTTTAAAATAAAATAAAATACATTGGTTTAATTTGGATCTTCAGGAAGCCATGCAACATTTGACTACTACTGATAGCTTTGCATGAGAACAACTCACCCATGAGCAACAGGAACATGCAAACAAATTCATAACTGACGGGCAGGGAAACAGACAAAAGGTGCTACAAGACTACTTATCATTCAATCTTTTTAACAAATACAAATGAAGACTAGATGATGACGGTGTTAAAGCTCATGTGAGGAGTTTTAAGATGGTCAAAGGGATGTCTTTTCCTTAAGTCAACCGAACAGTTAAACCAAATTACTAGTCAGTTAAAAAAATGATTATTATTGATGTTGGCCCTCGATGTAGGTCAAAATATTGTGTTCAAGCTGCAACACAGCCAGCCGCCGCCTGCCACCAGTCAGGGCTGTATGTCTGGTTAATGGGCCTGCTCTTCTCGCTCTACAACAAGATTAACTTGATGCATACTTGAACACATCATTGAATAAGAATTGTTCCATTTTGTGACCTTTGGTAGACCAGTCACTGCACAATCAATAACATTTTCTTGTCCCTCCCTAATTGTTATAAGTCTGGAAACTACTGTATCTAAATGACTAAGTTTCTACAAGAGGTTTTGAATTATTATGAGTAAAATGACACATTCATTTTAGGGATTTTTAAAAAAGTTTTCTATCTATATTTAGTTGAGGAAGGATTACATCTTAAGTCTCATGGCTTCTTCTCTATCTTCTGACATTAAAGTGTTTTAAGGACAACCTGTAAAACCTCTGACTCTCTCTCTCTCATAGATCGCACATAGCTCTGTATATATACATATATATGTATAAAAATATATTTATTTCTCGTTTACTGCACATAGTTCTGTTTACATCTGATAGTCCGATCACTGTCCACTTATATCTACTCTTTTTATATTTTGTATTTTAAGTTAAGTTTAAGTTGCATTTAAATTGACACTTTATATTTAAGTTAAAATGTTTCGTCTACTTGCACTGTTGTTAAATTACTGCTCTGTGTGCCTTTGAATTGGAGACAAATGAAGTTTTTTGTATTTGAACTCATTGTAAACGACTGTACGTTTCCAACTTTTAAAAAGCTCCACTAACTACATCCCTTTAACCTCTACTGTACAAGGAAGTCCTGCTGAGCCACCACCCACCAAACAACAGAACACCTTAAGCTGACATCAGGGATCAGTTTTCACTTTCTTCAGGCTACAGATGGCAGACATGGGGGGAAAGGAGGTGAAACTGATTCCAACCCACCCTGCTGCTGCTGCTTCTTACTTCTGCTCTCTCCATTCACAAACTACTCCTGACATCATGTTTGACACAGAGCCACTGACAACACAGCTGATAGAAACCTGCTGCACAAACGGATGAGTTGATTCAAACTATGTGTGTGTGTGTGTGTGTGTGTGTGTGTGTGTGTGTGTGTGTGTGTGTGTGTGTGTGTGTGTGTAGTAGTGAAGTAGCTAAAGCTTGGGTGGAGTCAGAATTACCGGTTTGATTCACAGAAAGTATCAAATGAATGCACCCCAGTCAGTCCTGCGACTTTCAAAGGCTACAAATGGCTTATTGTTGCAGCTTCGACGCGAGATTCTGCAAGTGAAGTATAAATTCAAGCACAGGTGCAGCGAAAAAGGTAGACTACAGACATAAAAGCTTTCATATTTTAATATTAACCCAATGCTGAGACACCTGAATCATCCACCTAGCACCTGTTGATGCTTAAAGAAATGCACTTCCGCCTAAAATCACAAAGATACCTGAGGAGAAACTCTTAAAATCCAACATTCATCCTCTCTCGTGTGTTTTTTTTCCTCATTCAGTGTTTTTACAAAAAGGTGAATCGCCACTTACCTGAGTTTTAGGTTAGCCATAAATTCCTCCATAGACACGTTGTCCAAAAGCACAAAATCTGCTTTTCCAAACTCCAGGCTCTCGTGCTCTGCCATGCTGCTACCTTGATGTTTGCGCGTGGAGAAACTATTTTTTTTTCTTCTTTTAAACAATTGCTTTGAAGTGCCGACAGCAGGTAAACATTGGCGGCTTCTCTGAGCACCTCCTCTCCTTCACTGGACAGATGTGCAGTCGATTCGCATTTCACTTGTTTCAAAGTGTAATTCCTGTCATGTTAAATTAAATACTATGAAGCTATATAAAAAAAGTGCATATAAATGATTACAAACGCGTTTTTTCTTTCCTTAAAGTCCCGTTTTTGTGTTCGAAGACGAAAGAAATCCCCAAATGTCCTCGTATCCATACAAAGTTGTCCCTCTTTTTTACGCCGAAACCATGTATCCTCGTCCCGTTACACCGTGCGCCAGCTCCGTCCGTTTTCCTGGAGTTTTTCTCCCCTGTTGTCCCGGCCGACCATCCACCAATGGGGACCGAAGCCCCGCCCCCTGCCTATCCCAAAGTCCCGCCCCCCTCCCGCCCTGCGTGAAGGTGTTGGTCAGAAAAGTTCTCTGTGAGTGAGCCGGGGAGCAAATAGCTGTGCAGACCGCAAGCTCCAGTCTTTCTGATACATATTTCTGCGATGACGGGGCCACCTCTTAAGTTTTAAAACACTCGTAGAGAAAACAAAAAAAAAATGTTGGCCTGACTTTTATGATGCCCGCTGTTACCATAAAAGGAAACATCAGAATTTCTCATTGGGAAATTAATGGAAAAATGCGGCTGAATGAACCCATTTGAAGAATTATTAGTTAAACTATCAGGTCTTCAATATTTCCTTTGATCTGCCCGCAATGAATCTGAACGAGGCCCCAGGTGTATGATAAACTCCTGAACAGGGAGCTGGCATAAAATCCACCATGCTCATCCTGGTGTTAGTGCGCCCCCTTGTGTTAGACAGCGGTATGCACCAATATTGGAACAGCACAAATTGAGAAGCTTAATTTGTACCGATTACTTTTAACTCTCCCCTACATTTCAGAGGGAAATATTGTACATCAATATAGATATACTGCCAGTAAAATAACTGGCACACAGCAGCTTTCCCTGTCAGATATCTGGAGAAAACAAATTGTGAGGAATGCAAAGTCAATCTTTGCCCGCTCTGACCATCCTCTCCTGGAGGAATTTGCTCTATTCCCCTCTGGTCGGAGGTACAGGCTGCTCAGGGGTATGTTCCTATTGTAATTAATGCCCTTAATATTTTCTAAAAACATGACTGCCCTTTCATGCAGCACTATTTCACTTTATTTATAGTGCTACCATTCCTAGGGTTAAGAAACTAATGCATACATAAGTGCTTTTACGGCATGAGCACATTATTAGATCTCTTAAATATTTTAAACTCTGTCTTTTATACAAAAGTTGTGGGTTTTTCAATTATTCTAGGAAAGAATAAATTATTGACATTAGATATTTCTGACTGTTCCTGATTTTTAAAAAGATTCTAAGATAACCAGCATTTCTGAGGCCCTCGGCAAAAAACGGCAAATTGTACTCTTTTGTTAAAGGTCACATATTCTGTAAAATACGCTTCACCATGTTTTTCTAACATAATATGTGTCTGTCTAAAAACCCCACAATGATGAGAAAAGTCCATCATCTCTGTCTTCTGCCTGCTCCACTTTTCAGAAAATGTGTGCTTAAACAGGCCGTTTGGAGATTCTCCCTTCATGACATCACAAAGAGCAGTAGCCCCTCCCCCAGGTGGGTGACACTCCCACAGCTAGGTGTTTGTTCTGCCCTCTGAGTCTGCCTTCTCACCGTAAACAATAGGACATGGAGCAAGAAAGCCCGAGACACCCAAACCCTTCCAGAGAGGGGGCGTGGTCAGACACAGCTCATTTGCATATTTAAAGGTACAGACACAGAAACAGCCTGTTCTGAGCAGGGCTGAAATAGAGGGGTTTATAGACATGATTAAATACAGGATCAGAGTGGATTTAGAACAAGAAACTTCACACACATGTTTTGAGGAGCTCTGAGACTTATTTAAACTGGTTGAAGAGAAGGAGAATATGTCACCTTTAATGATATATTGACTTTAACATGAAAGTAAGTTGTCTATTTTTTGTCCTCATGGTGTTAATATGAATTTCAAATACACATCATTTATTGTAATTATTTATTTCAAAGTTTACATGTAAGCTTAAAATCAGATCTTTTTATGAATTCAGGCACTAAGCAGACATTCCAGAGTGTTTTACAGGTAGGCCTATACAACTCTTCCATTCAGATAACACTACGACTACAAATATAAAATTAAATTAACAGCAGAGTTGTTGTTTTTTTTAAACTGTTTGAATTACAGATCAAGGATACTTTGTCAGGATATTAACATTTACATTGTGCTCTCTATATTGTGCGAGCAGTGAGCCTCCGAACGTGATGGTGGAGGAGACAGAATTGGCCCAGGAGTGCCCACAGTTGTGGGTGACGTAGACTAAAGCCCCCCTGCGGAGGAAGGTCATGTAGGTGGACAAACTGCCGACAGACGAGGGTCGAGAGACGTTCGTGTGAGAGACGGCCACCCAGTAACCGTTGACGCCCAGCCACAGGTCAGTCTTCAGACCGGCGTTTGCGGTCTGGGTGGAGAAGAAGAACTGGTAGACGCCGGGAACCGGAGCCCTGAACACCCCGGTTCTTCTGTTGAAGCCTTGGCCCACGTTCACCAGAACCTTACTGTACTTGATCCGGTTCACTTTGCCTTTGAGCTGGCCGGGGAACGAGGCAAAGAAGTGGATCTGTCTGGAAGACCCTGAAAGAAGAAGCACAGACACCAATATTTTTATTAGGAGTAAGAGTGACGCTGCTGCTTTTGAATTTTTTTTTTTGTGGCTTTGGGGGGAAAATAATTTATATTTCAAAGAAAGCTTTTATGACACTGAGGTTGATTCAATTTAAATGACAGCTGTCAATATCATGCAGGAAGGGTTCTGAGAAAAAGATGCATTCTGGGAAATGTAGTGAATCCAGGGAATGGAAATGCAACTGCTCCAAAACTATCCATTACCACCCGAGTATTTTAAGCCAGCATTGGGTGAAAGACGCCTCAAAAAACAATCCAAAATAAACTTACATCTGTTTGTCTTACACATCCAGTTTATCTTATCTCGGCTCACACAGGACTGGTCTCTCCTGCAGCGCCCACACACCAGAGTGTTGATATCTGAGAAGAGAGATACAGCATCATTAAGACATCGCCCATTAATATTACACTGCAGCCGGCAAAAAAAGATAAGAAATGGGATTTTAGACTTGATCAAGATATGTGCTTTTAGAGACGGTAATACTTGGACAGTGAGCTTCTTACATTTGACAACTGCTAGACAAAACTAAGTTCTTGAGGCTGTAGTCCTCCAAGCGGGCGGCCCAGGTTCAAATCTGACCTGTAGCTCCTTTCACCTGACTCTGACTCCGTCTTCGTCCTATCTCTAAATAAAGGCTTAAAAAAAGCCCCAAATAAACCGCTAAAAAAAGTTCTTGACACTTGAGACTCTTTTTCCTTGATCAGAAATTCTCAGTAAAACATATAAATGCTTGAATGAGCATTAAATGGTTTAGGTGTCTTTATTATAATGTTATGATATATACATATATATATATAATATTATTAATGACACAATAACAGGTCCACTCCAGTAAGGAATGACGACCCAAACAGTTTGTTCTTATTGGTTGAAGCCATGTCTTTAATTAAATCCAATGTTTACATTTATTTCCAATAAATAAATTTAAACCCTTTGGAAAAAGCTGTGCATGTTATTTAAATGGCCCAGTGTTTAGTCAGTACCTGCACAGTAAGCCAGATAACAGGCCGTCGGTTTGGTGAATTGGTAGACGTAGTAGTTTCCGCGACACTTCTTGATGTTGATGGGGGTGGATTCAAAAGCGCAGCAGTTCTTATTCCAGTGGGCGCACACTCTGCGGGTGACGATGCCATCCCTCCTCCTTGGGTGAGGCCCGGCCAGCCACAGGGGGGCGTGGGTGCCACATCTGTTCACAGGGACACACCTCTCGGGCATCTGCAGACTCTGGCCCTTGTAGTAGAGACGGTACCAGCCTGAGGTGCAACAAGATAAAGAAATACATAAAAAGAGTTTGAATCATCTCAAAAATTAAATGATTTTATTCAGAATTTTCTTTTCTACCTTTCCAATTGACGTTGCGGTCGCACATCTTGTTATTGGTGGTCGTGTTGGTGGCCCTCCAGGCCTGGTCCAGGAGCATGTAGTGAAAGCAGGGGTCCTTACTTCTCCTGGAGTCTCCCTCAAAGGAATCAAGGCTGTCTTCATCTTCTTCTCCTTCTCCCTCCTCCTTCACGTCATAATTTGGACCATAAGTCAGGATGTTTGTTCCTGTTTCACAAGAGAGATTATCCAACAGTTTAGTCCTTATCGCCTGAAAATCTGCAAGAACGAGGATGACATCTTTATGTGGAACATGTAATTAAAAGAAGAGTTGGTGAATTAATAACACAAGAACAACATCAACAAAACAATCTCAGTAAATGGACTGACCCACTTCGTCGTGCCCTCTCCTCTTCTGATCCCTCGTCATGTGCATCTGTGAATGAATACAGAGACACATTCAGAGGAGCAATATGCAGCATGCAGACGGATTATAATGAGATGATTCAGAGTCTACCTGAGTCAGAGCGCTCTGCTGCTGCTGCTGCTGCTGATGAAGTGTTGTTTGTTCACACCTCAGACTCTCCATCTCCTGTGAAACAGTACAGTGTGCACATGTAGTGGAAAAAAAGTAAGAAGTGTTGGACGCTCATTAAAAGAAAAAGCAACAAATTCTGAGGAGTCATGACACCTCAGGATTAACATAATAATGACACACTCGGAGGTTGCAGCTCATGTCAAGTCTGCAACGGACAAAGAAAATACTTTTGTGTTTCTGAAAAGAGGGAGAAACTTAAAGCATAAAAATAGGAGCACAAACTATTTAATAATTGGACTGTTTTAGAGCTGACAGTGAATACACTAAAGTTAAACTCTGCCAGAATTGCACAAGGTGAGAAACTCTCCATAGCAACACAAAGATCGCACGCAGGACGATGAAATTCACCTTAAATTAGAATTAAGGGTCAAGGGATAAATCAAATTTAAGTTTTTGATGACTCTTTTTTTTTGGTTTCTTCAGCCACGATATTTTACAAAAGTTGTTGTGAGTGTGGAGGCCGATTGTACTGCAAGAAAATGACAATTTGCACTTCATCCATCACTTTTTTTTAGCATTTAGTGTTCAAAGAAGGCTTGCAATCAAAACATTTTTATAAATGTAATTAATCCCTCAATCATTTGGTTAATAAAACATTCAAAACTACCAAAACTGATGAACAAAACTTCTCAAATCTCATTATCCATCCATTATTCTATTATTATGTCTTTATTTAAACTCGAAAATCATTGAGAGTAGGATTTACAATGACGTCTAGCAGGATAAACAATGAAAAATATAAAAATACGTATACATATATATATGTATATATATATGTAGACATACGTATACGCATATACTGTATACATACACCTACATACATATACATACACATCATAGATAAACAAGATCAGTTAAAACCAACAAACAGATAATAAGAAGTATTTCAAATTTCAAAATCAATTCAAACATGTGCAATCAGAAGTAAGGAAGTCAATAATTTTAAGTTTATTTTTTCATTTTTATATTTTTTTTAATTCTTATTGGTGTACATTAGTCTCTCAATGATTTTATAAACTACTTTTTCGTCAATCATCTTTCTGCACTCTTGTAAAGACCTTTGAACTGCAATTTAATTTGTCTGAAAGGTGCTATATAAATAATGTTTGATTAAATTAAAGATCTAAAATGGCCAAAAGAGACTAGTGCCTGTGCAGGGTCACACGGGGCGCTGGAGACGATTCTAGCTGTTACTGAGTGAGAGGCGGGGTTACACCCTGGACAGGTCGGTCGCCTGTCAATCACAGGGCTGACATATAGAAACAGACAACCAGCCACACTCGCACCTACAGGTTATTTAGAGTCAGCAGTTAACCTAACGAGCATGTCTTTGGAGTGTGTACCCGGAGAGAACCCACACATGCACGGGGAGAACATGTAAACTCCACACAGAGAGGCTCCTGTCAGACGGGGATTCAAACCAGGAACCTCCTCTCTGTGAGGTAACAGAGCTAACCACTGCAGCACCACACAGCCCCTAAATGTCGTCATGTATCTTTACAAATGTTCTTTCATCATCCTAACTGACGAAAATCCAAAGATATTAAGTTTCCAGACTAATGAAAAGGAAATATAAAGTTAATATTCACATTTAAAAGCTGAGAAAAGAAACGGGTTATCCTTGGAAAATGAGCTGCAGTAATTAACCAAACTTCAGGAATATTGAGAAATCAGTTATAAAAGTGATAAAGTGTAACATGTCACCTTAAATACAGCAGCCAGTTGCACAGCTATGGATTGGTTTTCGACGCTCCAAAGCTTCAGCTCCGTCTGTGAAACAAGTAAAAAATAAAACAGAACTTTGTGTCAACCCGAGTTTGATTTAGTGGGTTTTCCCTTCTCTGTGTTCGAATAAGGAAATGTTCTATTCTCTTTATGCGTTCAGTGAGACTGAAGCTCGGCACAGTTCTGTCCACGCTTAACAACATCTGGGAGAGTTTGGCTGCATAATGGATGAATTCTTATCTTCCATCTGTCCTGCAGGCTCTAAAACATCAGTGAACGCAGCTCGTACTCACAGACTTTGAATTCCCCGAGCAGCCGAGCGAACACGATGACATCGTTACAAACACGGCCAGAGCGAAGACGACCATCTGCAGAACAAACACAACAGTTAAGGGAAGAGGTCGTTAATACAGTTTGTCACAAACTCACCGTTTCATAATGTAATAACTTCTTTATGATAACTCTCGCGTTGATGCCTTGAGAGATTTTCCATTTTTTTTAAAGTAGGATAAAGGTTTGCATTATTTAATCAGTGATTTATGTTTCTGTTTGTGTTGTGAGGAAAAAATGAGGAAAAGTGTTTAAAATAAATTATCAGAAAAATGTTTCTTAAGGAGGCAAGAAAATGAGAATAATAAAGACAAATAGAATAAATGTGTGTTTATACATTTTAATTTATGTCGTCGGATAACTTTCTTTTTAAGGTTTATTTTTGGTCTTTTTGTCTTTATTGGAGAAACAGGAACGTGGACTGAGTCAGAAATCTGGACGAGAGAGATCAAATATAAACTTGAGGGGGAACAGAAACACATCTTAATGGGATGTTTTTGCTGTTTCTATAAACTTTTTCTAACTTTAAGGCTTAAAATAAAGTTTTTTTTTGCTTTTCTACATCTTGGTTTTTTCATATATATATTTTTTTTAATCATTAATTTTTTTTTTTAAATTTTAATTTAATTAATGTCATGTTACTTGAATATGAAAAAATCTTTGGAAGAGCTAAATTCTTAAATATAGTGCAAGCATCGTACCCACGTCTTTCTGCAAAGAATGTGCTCCAATGTTTGAAAGTTTGAGGGAGGAGTCTCGCAATTATTTTGCTATTATGTTTAATTACTAATGTGTGAAGAATTCCTTTTCTTAAATAATAAATAAATACATAAATAATAATAATTAAAAAAAAACAATTTTTGGAAAACCTGCACAGCTGACTGTCAATTCTTAAATCCTTATTATGATGAATATCTTCCAGAGATTTATTTTACTGTAAATCCATCATGTACCTGCACAGTTCCGCCATTGCACATTTTGTGTTTTTAATTTTTTTATTAAATTAATTAATTATTTTTTTAATTTTGCTTATTATATTTGTATATTATTCTATTGAAGTTTTAGCAGGAGCCCTTCTGTTTTAAAGCTTCTTACTATCTTTGCTTCAGTCCATTGCTGATTTTTTTGCACCAAAACAACAAGCCAAATTCCTCGTTTGTGTAAATGTATCCTTGGCAATGAAAACTGATTCTGATGATATGTTTCAATCTAAGACTCATAAATTACTGTAAAGAAATGGAGGATAAAAATACAGATTTATATGTGGTAAAAAGATACTTTTTCTCCCCTATAGGGAGCCACACTACCTGTAGTATGTGTTGTATTAATACAGTGTAAAAGATATAAATTCACCTTGATTTTGTACGATGACAGCCAGCTGCTCTGACAGAGACACGAGTAGAACCGTCACAGGAAAGAGGCCATGAAAGTGCTGGAAGAAAACAGAAATCATCATCATCACATAAAATAATTCACAGATGTTATAAGAATACGTCTGACGAGTTTTTTTTGATTAGGACATAAACATATCCACATTTTAGTGTATGATCCGTGCATGCAAATCAATTCAGAGTGAATCTTACCTCTTCACATCAGCACCACAAACAAAAAAAAATCCGCCCCCCGTCCAATCATCATCTTTTATACGTCTCTGCCGCAGTGAAGCACAAAACAAAGAGGAAACGACAGACTTCAGTTTAACAGCATCTTTCCCGCTCACTTCGAGGTGTTACTTTTCACAGATGAGTTGCAAATGTCAACATGAAATTAAAACAGCGTTGGCAGATTTTCACTCTGAATGGTCAGCAGTTAAAAACAAAAAAAAAAGAACAGTAACACCGTGAAACGTACAGTTACTCCGTCCCGACCACGCAGGGAGGAGTGTGAAAACGTGTGACACAAGCATTCATGTAAAGACTAAAACTCATGCATGACAAAGTCTTACATCCTATTTCTTCTTAAAAACAAATACATCAGGTGTGTTGACATTAATGTGTTCTGTATCCTGAATTGGGCTCTTTGTAGAAAACGGTAACTAGTGTTGTAGTCACACTAACAGAGACCAAGACCGAAACATAGCCACCCAAGACCAGGGCGCTCAGAGACCGAGACAAGATCCAATACACAAGAAACAGCCCTGTTTCCACCAAGCTGTCCGGTTTCATTTGGTTAGGTATGGTACACATTGTTTTCGCGTTTCCACTGTCAACAGGTTGGAACGGTACCGAAATAACTGATCCGTACCGTCCTCCTTTTTTGGGTATCCTTCTGTTGGGGCGCCAAGTGTACCGATCCGACCCTTAAGGTTGACTGGTCTGTTGAATGGTCAAAAATAATCCTCACTTCCTGTGCGACAGCGGGAATAAAGGACAAACAGAAAACACACCATGTTAAAATATCCTGCAGATTTGGGGAGGGGTAATTCAAGGCTGTTTTATTTTTTTGCCTCAGAGATGCAGACGTCCAGTTCCTAAGACTCATTGATCTTTGTTTACTGTGTTTTTAGTGACTTGTAAGGGTTCGGTTGGCTGTGGAAACGCAAGCAAGATCAGGGTTTACTGTACCAAAAGGTGCTGAACCAAACCAGACTGCTTGGTGGAAACGAAGATCAAGACTGAGTCAAGATCAAGACCATAAACATCCCTGAGAAATCATCATCTTGTGTGCAGCTGGCGTCACTGACTTAGACGCAGAACTGGGAAGGTTGGGCCGTAACAAACTATGAATGAATTTAAGTTCTTGGTTTTATTGAAAGAGGCGTTTTCCTTTTAATCAGAGTAACTACTTGGAAAAATGACTGATCAGTGGTGGTCTTGATTTAAAATCCTGAGTATGCCCAGTCTAAGACCGAGACTAGACTTAGTGAAAATGCTTTCAATTCCGAGGGGAGACCTTCAAAAAGGCTGATCTGTAGTACCACAAGACTAGCGGTAACCTTTAAATGTGATGAGAAATTAACTGATCATGTTGATTAAACTGCAGGAATGATGGAGCTGTTTTTTAGTTTTTTTTAAGTTGCTTCATTAGGGAGGAACATTTTCCAAAACAGACTTGACATTATTTTGTGTTAATGAGCTTCGTTGTGAACTTTCAGATCAGAAACTGTAAAAAAGGTCAGGAACAGATATTTTATACACAAAGTATCATGAACAGCAAATTCTGCTTCATCGAGGGATCACTGGGATGACACACACTGCTTGCATTTACCACGCTGACCACTAGAGGGCAACATCAGCAACACAACGTGTGCACCATGAACTGTAAACACAGCCGAATGATATTCCAGTTTTGTGAACTTGGAATAGGAAGGAGGTCAGTCCTGCAGGGTGGATTAACCCCGTCAGGAGGACTGGCAGAGAAAGAAGGAAGCTGCAGCAGAACAACATTAAAGGCATTCATCTTTAACTTTTATGTAATCATGACTAATACTTGGCACAGTAGACCGGTTTCTGTTGGCAGCTTCATTGTTGGCATTGTCTAACACACACACACACACACACACACACACACACACACACACACACACACACATGTACCACACACAGGCGGTGACGTTGGCAGATGTTGTGTGACAGCAGCACAGCCTGGTTGTTTACCTGTACAGCCTTCACTGGAGAACACGTGTTTCATGTCCTGTTCAGAGGTTTAGAACCTGTTTTTATTGTTACACTTTCCCAAGTTTTGAATGTATTATTTATACAGATTTGAAATATAATGTTTGTGCACATGTAGATATTTAACTTATGTTAGAAGATAACTTGTGTGCCGTTTGGCTAACCGTCAAAGCCTTTGAAGCAATTCTTGGCTTTTTAGCCAACACCTGATTTCAATTATTTATCAAAAGCTAATCAATTTATCTTTACGCTAACGATCTAATATGTTAGCTGTGACTTTTAGTAAGTCTAAATTAGCCAACGCTAGACTTTTTTTTTATCCATTTAAGCTATTTTTCAGACATTTTCACATCACTTTTAGCTAACTTGTTCAGAAGAAATTTGTTTTGTTAGCTTACTGTTTTAGTTTAACTGCCCATTTACTTTCGTCAGCTATTTCAGAAGTATTTAAACATCTCTTCTTTTAGCATTTTTTTAACCATTAGTCCGTTTCTTTAAGGTTATTACACCGTTTAGCCATTTTATTTAGCTGTCAACTGTTAGCCATTGCCTACAGATAGTTACCCTGGCAACCAATTGAGCGTCATCTTGCGTTATTTTAAACGTGTCTTTGGGATCATCATTTTTACAGAACATATGTAAGTCACTTCCCCTCCATATGGTCATTTTTATTGGAAAACGATGTTTATTGGTACAGTACTTAACGTCTTGGACATGATGTCCATGTCACTGTACCATGTACCACCACTGTGCCATGGTGACTTTATCAACCCTTTTGTTTGAATGAGATAAGCAGACGATGTGCTCTGCTGGATTCTTTCCACTCCTGGGTGTAGCCGTGGAGAGGCCCGGCCGCAGTAAACAACACGTTTAATGGCCATATTTAGACAGTCTGCCTGTAAGCCAAGTACAAACATGACACACTGACTGTAAAACGAGCCTGGCATGACGTCTGCCACCTGCAGGATCTTTCTTTCATCGGTGCAAGCAAGAGGCCAAACCCCAGGGAAAAAACGTGCATTAAATGTAACATCCGTATTCTTAGAAGTACTAAAAATAATGATTAAATTCTAAGAAAGAAAGTGGCAGGGAAAACAGATGTTCTTACTGTTTGACAGTTTTTAAAAATAAAAATGCATCGACTCGAACAATTTAAAGCATTCAATTAAAAGCAACATTTACTTTTTATAAGTAATTTCAGGTTTCCAATAGTTTAAATGGGCTCTTAAATAATTTAAATAATCCTAGAGGACACTCTATGTTGCTGCGAAATATGTTTAACATGCAATTCATTGATGACTTACAGTTTTGTATTTTAATATTTTGTGCTTATGTTTTGGTTTTGTATGTTACTTACATATTTTAATATTACAGTGTGGTGCTATGGAACATTTCTGATGTTGCATTTAAATTTAAAATCAACATCCCTTTTATTGGTGAGAAACTTTGAACTGAGTGAGCTGCTTTTGTAAGCTCCTCTTGTGATTGGTGCATAGATTTTATTTTACTGTATCTGCAAAATAAATGAAATAGTGGAGCAGGAACTTTAGTATGATCGCCTCAAAGTCAAATACACCACTGAGAAGATGTCCTGTTGGGCTACTATTCACTGTGATTTGAAACGTGCACATGAATGCTGCTCTCACTGTACATAACGTGCAGATATGCAACAGCCGTCTATTATTAGAGCTCTCGTAGGCTCGTACCGCTCTACCCGTTTAGAGACTCACATGCCCCCTGATCTCAAATGACCAGAGGATCATGACTTGATCACAAGCCTGTGACTTAAGGGAGACTCCCAGCCCGTTTCCGTGTGATGACCACCGTCTCATTAATCTCTGAGCCAAGAAAGCAACATTTTAAAAGTGTAACACACGTTCACATTTGCTGGATTTAAAGTGTCAGACGAAAACAGCAGCTTTAACAGATATCAATACGTTTTGGGGCGATATAAGCAAGTTTTTTGTGTGTGTGCATCTTGTGCTTGAAGGGCTGCAGGATGGAGTCGCTGAACTTGATCTCATCGGGAGACTTCAAACTGATCCACTGACACTGAAAAACTCTTAATTTCACACTCTGTATGTTCAATAAAAAACAACACAAGAGAAAGAGCCTGTATTTCATTTGTTATTTTCTTTTATTATCTGGGTTGTATTTACAGTATGTACAATCGTTTTCAGTCACTACAAAGCTATAAAAAATAACCTTTCACACTCTGTATGATTACGATAAATTTAATACAAAATAAAACTGTGTTTTAACACATATGGACCCAGGGCTTTTTTTTCTTCCTATGGCACAGTGTAATAAAAAAACAAAAAAAAAAAGAAAGAAGCTGAGACTGGCCTTTTGCCTTATTGGATCACAGACTGTTAAGAGAACTTGAACGTAACATGCACTGCCTTCTGGGGTTCAATAACACAAGACCCCGTTGAGCTGGGCTAAAAGCATTCAAACTCCAAATAAGCGTGGACAACAGAGAGAACCGTGGTCCGATACTATGTTCTTTTGTTAAGTCTCTACATGACATGAGTAACATTCAGCCTGATCTAGAAATCGGATGCTAAGATAACACTGTATCTTTTAAGTCACTGCCAATACAACGATTTCATCTTCTAATTGCTGAGAAATCAAAACACATGTCCATGCAGAAAGCAGCGAAAAACACTCAACTTAAAGCAGCTGTAAGTTTGTTTTCCCATCTTCATACCTTCATACTGTATCACAGATTACAGTACTTCCATTTCAACAAGGAGCATGAGTATTATTTTTCAAATAGTTCAAGTATTTCAATGAAATGAGCCTTTGGGTGAAGTCGCTACGGTAAGGCTTGGGTGACACTTCCTACAGGAAAAATAAAATCTGGTCCTCTTTATATCATTCAACAACAACAGGCCCCGCCCCCCCGCTCCCTCCCCCGCAACACCTGTTTAACTTAAAACCTCCATATGGCACTCCGTACAGCTGCTCTGATTACTTTGAATAACTTCCACAACTTGAATATCCAGACCTTCCTATGTTGTGCTCAGACCGACAAAAGCAAAACAAACTCAAGCTTGTGTTAAACAAACACATTTTTGTGTCCGTCAGTAAACCGAGTCACTCGGACGGGCAACAAAGCTGGACGTATTTCAACGCCTTCCAACAGAGCTGTGTTTGGATTAACGCCACTTCAGCTCTGAGCTACATGAAGCTGACCCGTGCATAGTTTGATGACCTGTTTTTAGCAAGGTCAGAGTTGGCTCAGCATCAGGAATTTTTTTCAATGGACATCAGCTATCGCTTTCAGCTGCAGGGCGCATAATTACGAGTCGCTGGTGAGTGGCAGCTACACTGTAACTAGCATGCCAAACGTTCACTGCGTTCTTGTTTCCTGCAGTGGTTTGAATCCCAAACAAAGCAGATTTTGCTGTGCATGCCGAAATAACTACACCAGGATGCAGACTTGTAATCAATTAAGATGCAAGGTCTGTCTGCAAGAAGTCAAACAAACAACTTTTGAAATGCTTGATTATCAGGGTCGATTTGAGGATGTCTACGGGACAGTACATTTTACTGCACAGGAAGCAAAAAAATCCCATCTGGTGGGGAAAAAGTTCAACTTTCCCAAATTTGCATAGGAGCAAATTAGTGTGATTTATGCCGGCAGCATATTCAAATCTTCATGAGTATTCACAATGACTTTGTACGTTATTACACATCAGAAAGAACTGTCTGTCTCTTGGTCTGAACACACTCTACATCTTTCCACTGTTGATCTGTTAAGCTATTTTCAGCAACAACACCACACCCAAAACAAGCCTGGTGCTGCCTCTCGCTCTCTACCTGCACATCACTCCAGTCTGCATGTCCACACACACACACTCCCTGCTGATGCAACATTCGAGGCGTCTAATGTTTTTTTTTTTTTTTTTGCTGAATATCTTCTGTTATGGAAGTTTCCTATTTTCTAATGAGGTACAGGGACTGAGAAAAGCATGCTACTGCTGAAACCGGACTGAAGTAATAAAGGACATACTGTCTTCTGTCTGGAGATGTTCCCTCTAAGCAGAACAAATGTTTGTAGTCCACACCTGCCTCAACTTGATGGAGACGTTGGGAGTTTTGAAGACAGAGATTCCAAAGGCGTTTACATTACAGTACGTAGGCCTGATCTGATTTTCACTTGGACACCTTAAAGTTTCTCAGGTCCAGGGGCTCTTTGCTGGGTATGCACCAGTCGTCAGCCTCTTGGCTCACTTTGTAGTTCTTCAGAGCGGTTTTGTTGTACACAGGCAGCCTCTCGATGGAGTCTGTGGACAACGCCTGGAGGGACAAGACGACATGATGTAATTTAAAAAAACTCCTGTCATTCCTGCACAGAAGTCTGCAGGGTCAAGTTTGTCTTTAACAAAAGCAGTCTCTCTGTGTAATGTGCTGCAGGCTTGGCGTTTTGTCACAGTTCTTCTAATGCATGACCACCCGGTCTGGCTCACCTTCAAGTAGATGACAGCGTCTGTGCCGTGGCCCTCCATGGAATAGAGCTGCAGGTCTCCCTGGAAGTACTTGGCGTACAGTCGAGAGATGGGCAGCCCGTAGCCGAAGCCAGCCTGCACAGAGACGGAGGAGATCGAGGGTTTAAAAAAAAAAAAGGCTTTGTTCTCTGTCACACTGCAAGAAGAACTCATCATTGGAACAAATGGATCTTTTGTTAAGTGAAGTTTCTTGCATGTATTTGGGGGGAAATGATGCCAGGATTTCATGCTTTAAATAGAAAAATAGTCTAAATAAAAGCATCAGAATTAGCATTTTGATGAGTGTACAGAAATTAATCAAAAAGGCATATGGTGCAATTAACAGCGCCTTTACAGCTGCTGTGTAGGAGGGAAATCTAGTTAATGAAATCAATCCTGGCACAGCATCCCTTCTCTCTGCTTCTGTACGTACCAGAGGAGGCCGTGAGTATTCTCCTATCTGCGGAGCGGGAGCGGTGGAGAACATGTAGCTGAAAAGGTTCTCAATCCTCCGAAAGGGGACACCGCCTCCCTTGTCGCTCACCTGCAGAGAGCAGCAGAAATGGAGAAAGGCAGAGAGTCAAATGAGGTCATTGAATTTGTGCTGAGCCAGACGAAGGAAGAGCAAATGAAGGCCAGCCCGTTGGGAACACTTAGAACCTTAACTGAACGGTAGAAACTAAAGGGTCTTCTGTGTTTTTACTTCATGAATTGTCATGATAAATGAGTACATGAACCAGGCTGTGTATTGATCAGAGTCTGCTCCAGGTAGATGAGGTTCATTAGGGAAGATATATAATAAGGGAATGTAGTACTGCATTAACAAAAAGGTGCAATAAGAGGTATCAAGATGACTTCACCTATTCTCCCCTTTTTTAACCAGTTTAAATAAGTCTCAGAGCTCCTCAAAACATGTGTGTGAAGTTTCTTGAAGGGCTTGTGTGTCTCTGGCTTTCTCGCTCCATGTCCTATTGTTTACGGTGAGAAGGCAGACTCAGAGGGCAGAACAAACACCTAGCTGTGGGAGTGTCACCCACCTGGGGGAGGGGCTACTGCCCTTTGTGATGTCATGAAGGGAAAATCTTCAAACAGCCTGTTAGAGCACACATTTTCTGAAAAAGCGGAGCAGGCAGAAGACGGAGAGGATGGACTTTTCTCAGGCTTGAGACACATTCAGTGTGTCTAAAATGGTGGAGGGTATTTTGTACAATATGTGACCTTTACATTCTAAATTTCACAGTTTAAGAGACGATTATAGTCTAAGTAACATGCTGTGATATCTATGGGGCATTAAGACCGGGTTCATTAGGGAACAAGTCTGTGTATTTAATCTTATCACAGTTAAGTATCTATTCTACCAGTATGCACTGTACTTAACGGAGGGTGAGATTATTACATAACAGATCTAGAGATTTGGGCAGAAACAATCACAAAGAATTTGTACTCTTAAGCTTTTCAAAGCCAACACATACCACAGTCTGTGTGCGGTTGATCATTACCTTATGTAACACTAAACTGATCTGAACTTGTGCAAAAACAACAGTGTGAAAGATTAATTCAGCGCAATAACTGTATCATCACAGGCTTCATTTAACCTGTTCAACTGGTTCACAAAGACGTACAAAGACACCCACATGTCCATTCTACAGGCTCTACAGCTCTGAATTAATCTCCCGCTAATAGGAAGAGTGTTAGTGTTACGGGAGACACCGCCTTGAGATATCCCTACAAACAGAGACACACAACAAAGGAATGTAAAGACTTAAAGGTGGAGTCAGTTGCATTGTTCGTCCCACGCTAGCACAAGCTAACTGCCGGTGTTTGGCACCTGCCTGTCCCACAGAAAGCAGGCCAACACTAGGTTCACCCTGGTCTTAGAACAAGCTTAATCCGCCTCACTATGGTAATATTTTCACTTCTTTGCCGCTTCATCCACGACCATCATATTTGCCAGTTTGAATCGTGTCAAATCGCTGAAATGTATCCACTCCTTAACTCTCCTGCACTCTAATTGTCTGGAGGAAACACACCAGCTCCCCGCCCAAAAACGTCCAGAGTCGACCAAAACAAACCAAAATATCAAAACCCAGTCAGAGGACGGGGTCTCTGCAGACACAGTCACCACCACTGAGCCTGTATGGAGGCCCAGAAGTGACAACTGAGCAACCTTACTTTACTTTCTTTAAGTCTATATTTCATTTTTTAGGAAAAAGCTACTGACTCTCTCTTTAAGGAAAACAAAGGAGTCCTTATTTGAAATTTCAGCCGTTATCACAATAACCTCGGGATAAAGAGGCAGGTGTTACCACCCACCTTGATTGACATGTCCTCGCCCCCGAGAGACACCAGGACGTGAACAGGTGGAAGGTTGTTGCTGTCGTCGTGGGTCTCTATCGTTGCTCTCATGGCATTCTGCAAAAGGGAGAACAAAAAACAAATGAAGACTCATGTGGACACGGGGCCTTCCACAGTCTAGAATCAAACCTTCAGGATGCACCGTACCTTGAAGAGCTCAAACAGCATGTGATAAAGGTGAGAGGGGATGTAAACGATGCTTAATGGGAGGCTCTTCTTATCACCTGGAGAGAGAGCGGGTACAGAAAGTGTTAATAAAATCCACCTTCATCTTCATTTAAAATCATAAGACTGTATAACACATGGACATAGACTCAGTGATGTCATCCATTGGCTACTGAGGACACATTATGAAGCTGAACAATGGAGGGCGCCATATTGGAAATGCAGACGCTGGCTGTGTCTCAGAGCCCATTTCCTACTGAAATCTGGTCAACAGTGGATTCCCATTTTACATCACCAGCTGTCTCAAACCCTTAAGTCTTTTATTTTGAAGGGCTAGCAACCTGAACAGCTGCACCGTAACTAGCTGATGGTACAAAACCCTGATAATAACAGGCAAACAATTCATCCACAAATGTAGATTTAGTAAGACGGCAGATGACGGTTCTCAAGAGTCATGAGTGAGCTAACAAACTTTAAGAAAACACTGATATTATTGACAAAGCTATGCATATCGTGATTCTGGATTAGACGTCTGACTCTTTTCTTCTTTTGACCCCCTTCTTAGACTGTACAATTTTGATTTCAGGGTTTCCAAAAATAAATGGCGTGCACTGAATCTCTTAAATGTTGGCCCACAAAGGATTCACCGGAAGGATCCTTTGATCACCGGGTAAACAAGGACACATTTATTTACTGGCTGCATTTGAAGGAGCCCCTTGAAGTGGAAAAGCCTTTGTCGCGCCGTTGGGACGTAACCAGCCTGCAAATGTGCACTCCAAAGGATGCATCACTTAGCCTTTTACCTAGCTTTTGATCGCTCTAGATACGATCAAAGAGGTTGACCTTAAACCTCCTGGCAAACAGCTTCAGCCACACCCTAATTATGAAAAGATATGCATATTCTTAGCCTTAATATAATCAAAATGAATTGACATCAACGTGTTTTTTTTGTACCAGAATGTGAAAATGTGCATTTTATTATGGGGCCTAATGGAGATTCATTTGCTTTTGCAGCCAGCCTCAAGTGGACACTCGAGGAACTGCAGTTTTTGCTTCTCCACACTGGCTTCAGTTTTCAACTCGAGAGGCTGCTGCTCGTTAAAAACTCATCATCCTCATCGTCTGTGTGCACGCTGCCCATCATGAGCTGATATTCTGCTCTGCTCGGGTTCTACTGTTTGGAGAGTTTGGAGAGGAAGGTGTCAACGTGTCAATATTGTCCGATGCAGCCAGGCGAGCTGTTTGAGGCACCTCTCATGCTTCAGAGCTATAATTAGAGACCTCTCAGATCCACCTGGCTGAACACTCACTTACAGTACATACACTCAACTGTACACACTGCGTCCTCTGCTCTGTTTGTTCAGTCATTATTTGTTCTTTATCTTGAGTAAAATCTCTTGACTTTTAACCTTTGGGATGTCTGAGTTAAGACTGGACATATATGTGACCTGAAAGATAAAAACGCTGTATGCTTACTGCTCATCTCCTTTAGTACGAGGTCAGGGGAGCGGAGGTAGTACTGGTCACACAGCATCTTTGCACTGTGGAAGGCATCTGAACAAAGAGACAATCACACAAGTTATGATTACTTACATGATTATAGCAGGAGTAGACACACATAATACACAAATGACCCCGATATAAAAGGGCATTAAATGTCACAGCAGGAGTCTGAAATAGAAGACAAAGATATATTTACCTTGGACTACATCCCCGACGTGACAGTGAGGGTCAATGCTTCCAATGGTGTTTGGGTGAACAGGGTTTGTAGTGCCGTCAAAAATGAGAGCTGCAGAGAACAAAAAGATGCAAAGTGAAGAAGAGCACAAAGCTGAAAGTATCAACCTGACAAACACGAGGGCTGGGCATCGTGAGAAAGTTTGTGGGAATGTGATGTCATTTTTTGTTTTGAAGTTGATGAAAACTGTGTCTGCAATTTTGTCCGTACATTGCAGTCTTTGTGAAAAACGTAAATCTGTATTCAGCACGTTTAGAAGAGCGGATATCTTGAATGAGTAAACAAGTTGAGACAGTAGAGATTTAGGTAATAGTCAAGATTCTTATCTTCTGAGATTTTAAATTGATTCATAACGTCCAAAAATCAAAGTTTTTTGGCTAATCAGTCACTCCCTGCTAAGTGCTAATGCTAGCTCTTTAACTCAGTAGATTGCCAAATAGAGCAGCAAGAAATTCAGCCAGTCCATCAGGTGACTGGAGCAGATCCTGAAGTATGGACTAATTTAAAAAAAAATAGACTTTGAATCATGAACCGTTTTGAATCGAAAATAGATTCTCAATCGAATCATGACCCCAAGAATCAAAATCTAATCGTGAGACACCCAAAGATTCCCAACCCTAGAGATAATACACAGGCCAAGAAACACTCAAATAATTCAATGTGTCTTTTTACAACAAAAAAAACACTGATATGCTGATCGGACCATTTGCCCCATGATTGTTGAATTAAATGAGAAAATTCTAAATTGTGGAGAATTCTCAATTTAAGGGCCGGCTAGCGGTTAGGCTGCGCCACATGTATGGAGGCAGTAGTCCCCAAAGCGGACGGCCTGGGTGCAAGTCCGACCTTATGTCTCATTTCCTGCATGTCACCCTCCACCTGTGTCCCAACTACCTCGTCCAGTATCCTGTCCACATAAAGGCAAACGCCCAAATGTAAATCCTAAAACAAACAAAAAGTTCCACAAGCTGACGTCATAAATTTGCTTTATTTGTCCAACAAACTATTTAAATCTGGAAAACTTTATTTACCTCAAAACGACAACAAAGCAGTAAAACGGATCCTTTACAGAGCAGGTAAAGCAAAGAGTAGATATCTTTGTTTGGAAAATGAATGAAATCATTGATTCAAATTCATTCTCTTTGATTTAAGTTAAATTAACACTTCTTTGAAACTCCAGTGACAACCACAGATTAGCATGTAAATCCAGTTATTTGTATCCTGTTTGCTTTTGTCTGCATCTGTTTTCAACCCTCTAATACCTCTGTAACAAACGCTGCATAATGAAGCAGAAATGTTGCGATGTGAAGCTCGTCTTGACTCACTCCGGCTCCCCGGGCTGACAATAACATCCCACAGAAAAATAATCTGTCACTGATGTGACAGTGAAGACGGTGAGGGGACGTGTTTTGACTTATTGTTCCCTCCGGGTGTCAAACAAGTGACAAGTTAGCAGAGTGAGCGACACTGAACAGAAACACAGCCGGGTGTTCTCACCAGACAACAACACAGGAAGAACAGAAACTTAAAGGGATAGGGTCGGTATGTTTGAAGCGGGGTCGTATGAGGTACTTGTCAATCACAAGTATGTTACCCATAGGAGAAGTCAGTTGGCCCCGCCCCTTTATTGAGAAACCAGTCAGGCTGTCAAACGCTTTTATCCAAAACGACGTACAGCTCTGCAGATGAGGTTCATAATTAATCCAATTTTAAGAAAAAATAATAAAAACTAGAAATCAACGATTATGTCTGTATTTAGAGAAAGGAAAGTTTAGGCTGCCTTGTCTGCACGTAGACTAAACCACTGACATGTTTTTATTTATAAGGGTATTCTCGGTCTGCTTCCATCCTACCTACAGAGCTACATACTTCAAAAAAGTAATGGAAGTTAGCATCTTCGCTTGCAGGATTTACACCTTCTAACCATCACTGAAGCCCGTACTGAATTAGGAAAAAGGGCGTTCAAGGATGCTGCTCCCTCTTCTTGGAATCGGTTTCAAGATACTTTAAATCTTGGGGAGCTGGTTTCCTTGAAGTATCTGACTGTAGATGTTTTAACTCCTATTGCCCCTTTTTGATCGCTTTGTTGCTGATGACTTCTGACAGATTCTGATGAATGGTTCCTTTTTGTGATTCCTGTATTTATGTGTTTTATGTCTGAAACCCTGTAATTGTGCTGCTGCCTGTCTTGGCCAGGACGCTCTTGTAAAAGAGATTTTTAATCTCAATGAGTCTTTTTCCTGGTTAAATAAAAATAAAAATAAAAAATAGGAAAGTTAATAGAATCAGAAACAGGGGCGAGAGAGAGATTAGGGAATGACATGCAGGTCGGATTTGAACCCGTGCTGCCTGCTTGGAGGACTACAGCCTCTGTACATGGGGCGCATGCTCTAACCACTAGGCTACCAGCACCCCTGCTCCATAAAACAGGGGCGCTCAGTACGACAGGGAACTGTGGATGGTGAAAAACGCTGAACTATCCCTTTTGAACTGGATGCTGAATGTTACTCACTGTGCTGGTTGATGAGCATGCGGATAGAGATCCGGCTCATGTAGAAGCGGTCCAGAAAGTACTGGATGTTCTGGTTGGTGACCGGGTCCTGTTGGAAGGCCTCTTTGTATTCAATGATACCCTGGGCCATGGTGGGAACGACGTCGTTGTGCCTATTTCTGATCGTAACCAGGGTGTCAACAAACCTGCAGAGGACGGTGAAGAAGAAATCCAGCTGTCATTAACTCTGCTCATATCACAAGAAAATGGAAGAAAGTGAAGAAAGATGCTTGTCTGAGATGTTCTGAATAGGGCTGTGATGAAAAACTTAAGTCGTGATCTGGTGCGGAGGTTATTGCAATACATTTTTTGTCTCATCAATTTGAATTGTCCATTATGATTGCATAGCAAGGGATCGTTAAATCTTTACTTCTGGAAGAGGTTGTCGAGAGAAAAAAAATGGGAACTTACTCTCCCAGGACTTTGTGGTCATCTGGATTCCTGTCGAGGAATTCAAGGATCTCCATTAAACTCTGGATGTACCTGGAAAAAAACAAAACATAAACAAACAAGTTCAAACATCTTGAAAACACACAAGAGCAGCGGTTAAGTTCATATTCAGGTGAGAGTTCATCCTCAAGCTGCATCCTCATCCGGTGCAGTCTAGTCCTGTGAAGGCTGTTTCGTCATGAGCCGGGGATCCAGCCCAAGATTTCTGCCTTTTAATAAGGCTGTTTTTTTCTTAACACTGTAACACTGCTTTGCTAAAGTGCTCATGATGGATAGGCCGGGTCTTTGTAACATAACAATAAGTAAGATCTTTTACCTGCTTTTTGTAACATAACAATGAGTAAGGTCTTTTTACCTGCTTTTTGTAATGTTAAAAAACAATGAGTAAGGTCTTTTACCTGCTTTTTGTAAAGTGTCTCGAGATAACACTTGTTATGAGTTGCCTCTATACAAATAAAATGTATTGATTGGTCGATTGATCCTTAGGAGGCCAGTTGAGGTCATTCCTCAACAAAACAACGAGAAGCAGACTCTCCAACAAACAGGGTCATGTGACTGTGTGACGAGAAACTGGGGTAAAGTTCAGTGCTGAGAGCCTCTGCCAGCTCAGAGCCAGCTGGAAGGAGTACAACTTGGTCAAAGGGTGCTTATGCAGTTTAGAGCGTGACACCACCGCAGAGGGAAACTAAAGACTGTCCTACTAATTGGAAGTAAACAAGCCGGCAGCTGTGATTGTTAACGTCTAAGAACTCAGGGGAAGAAATCTGGCTTCAGAATGTAGCTCGATGGATGAACACAGAGCGAACAGAAAGAGGGAGTTTTTCTGTTTGTTTTCTTTCGCCACAATCCAGAGGTTATGTAACTCAGATCATAACAATAGTTTATGTCCTGGTTTTTTCTGTTTACTCACCAGCTCTGCACCATTTGCACGGACGACGTTGTGAGAAGTCGGTTAGGCAGCAGGTTTATTTCCTTCATGATGTTTGAAAGTCTGACAGGCAGCTCCTGTCTCAAAAACACAAAGGAGGTCTTCTCACAGGCGTTTATGGAGCCTAAAGCAGCAAAGGAAAAAAAGACATCAGAACAGGAGCGTACTACCCCACAAAGTTTTTAGTAATTTAAAATGTTTTTAAGCAGCAGTGCCCAAAATAATCTCTATTTTTCTCTATTAAAAATGTGATTATTTTCAGCTTTTTTCACTTTGATGTACTTAAATGTCAGTATCAATGTTTTGGTCTTGTTGATTAGAAAGTCTGATCGGTGTTTCCACAACTTTATGACAAAGCCAAAAACTTAATTTTTCCATCAAATTTAGAAAATTGAGCTTTGAAAAAAATGCTATTTTTCAGCTTTTCGACCAAACTAATACATACATAAAAGAAAAAAATAATCATTGGACTGAGACATAAATTAAATAATAACCAAAAAATCTACAAATTATGTAATTTATCATTATAACTTGTGTGTTTGCAAAACGATTTCTTTCTTTTTTAGGCACACATTTTAAGATTAAAAATGTTATTATTTTCATCTTTTTTCACTTTGATATACTAATTTGTTGGTTTCTATATTTTGGTCTTGTTGTTCAGAAAGTCTAATCGGTGTTTCCACAACTTTGTGACACTTTTAGACATGCCAAAAACTTTATTCTTCCATCAAATCTAGAAAATTGAGCTGGAGCTCACTTCAGGTTTTTGGGAAAAAAATCTATTTTTTAACTTTTCCACCAAACTAATACAAGCATAAAAGAAAAAAAAACAATCATTGGACTGAGACACTATTTAAATAATAACCAAAAATCCTACAAATTATGTAACTTATTATCATAACTTGTGTGTTTGCAAAACGATTTCTTTCTTTTATGCACACATCTTAAGATTAAAAATGTAAATTTATCTGCACTACTTGCATGATAAGACATTATAGATCTGCTACAGGACTTACAAGATGAATTATAAGTACATTTCTGTAAAGATATGAGCAGCAATGTGTCTCCAGAGGCCCCACAAAGTGCAGCCTGAGCTGTCTGTTACAGACATGATGCAATCCTCTGCATTATGAGCACTATGCTCCTGCAGGCAAAGAGCAGCTGGAACATCATGCATGTGTCTATTTTAGCACTTAATTACGCTTCATATGTGTTTAAATTGAGACAGCATCATCAACTCTTTACCACAAGACTTTAGCTCCCTCAGAAATGACATATCTGTGATCTGATCGGGTGGTCAATACTCACCGAAATCCAGGAATTGCTTCATGGAGAGCGGCGAAGGAGAAAATTTAGAGAAGTGTTCGATATGTTTGGGCACACTGGCCAAAGCGGCGTTTTTCATAATGAACCTAACGAACTTCATTGTAGCTGTTGTGGCTCCTGTCCTGTCTACGACCACGACCTCCCGAAGCTAGCTTATTATTCCTCTCCAACTGACGGAGCGGCGTGTTGTCATGAACGCAGGGGAGGCGACCCCGGGCAAGTAGAACGCTTCAGCCAATAGGAGAGCGAGATTCTTATATTTACGTTCCAGACAGACCAATAGGATTCTCCGGGGGGGGGGAGGGACTAATACTCCCGGTCTGGAATCAACACTCTTCGATGACGTAAGGAGGTGAAGGCTGATCAGTCGTGTAACAAATGAACTAAAAACAGTTAATTAGAAGTTACTGACCTTAACCTGTTATCGATAAGGACATTATAAGGCACTGTACTAAAGTTAGAGTAAGTTATTTTAGTTTTAGTCTTATATTAAACTTTTATATTAGCTGCTTCCCCTTAAACTTATGAGGAAAATATTGAGCTTTGTAACTTATTACATTTATTAGGCCATATTAGAGCTTTAGTTACAGGTTAATATTCAGCAATTGTTTAGTAAATATGACTCACTTTCATCACATCACTGCTTTATATAAAACTATTAATTATATTATATATATATATTAATTATATTAAACAGAATATATGTGAGATTAAAATTATGCAGCCCAAAATCAAGAGTTGAAATTACAAAATAAAACTGAATCTGGTCGGCTGTATCGGCTCCAGCTTGACAAGTTGTTACAGTTTTAAGTAATATTAAATAAATAATGATCTGGTAGTATCACCTCATGAATGAAATAGTAGGATTAAAACACAGGGAACAATTTCTGTGTAATAAATACTTAAATGAAGATTTGTGTTTGTGTAGTTTTTTTGTACTTTCTGCAACAGGGAAAGTGAAGATTTAAGTGAAAGACATTTTTTTTTCTTCTTCGATTTGAACATTTTTTAGGATTAAGTTTTATTACATTTACATATTATTTATATCCTCCTCAAGAGAAGATGTTAGTGTTAAAAAAAAGTAGGAAGTTTCAATGTAACAGAAAAGAGAATTTATACCCTAAACTTTATGTCTGGATTTGTAGATGTGTGTTGTATGAGTCAGCGCAGGATCATTATATAAATGTGTTTATGTGTTTCTGCACTTATTTTATTATGGATTTTTTTGTTTTTTATTCAGATAGTATTGTTCAAAAATGATCACCTGAAGAAGACCTGTAGTTGAAATTGATAAATTTAAACTTTTTGTAGCATTTAAGCAGACGCATCTTCTTCCTCAGTCTGCTGATTTTGCCCGGCCCTGCACCTACGTGATGTCCTTATAACTACCTCCTTCTTCTTTTATTCCTATAAGTTTACAAAGTGCTTTGACAGACGAAGCAAAGGCAGGAATTCTGGAAGGTAGCAGAATAAAAATTCAGGCCAAACACAGAGTGGTCCAAAAAAAGGCAAGAACAAGATTTAAATGCAACAGGTTGAACGTCCTGCACATGCTAATTAAAATGATAATGATCTCATTGGGTAGTTAAAGCAATCAAGTAATAAAAAGAGAGTGAGAATAAAACCAATAAAGATGATAAGAAGACAATAAGAAGACAATAAGAAGACGATAAGAAGTCGACATCACATCAGAGAACATAAAAAGATCTGGAACAATAAGATTATAAAAAGATGAATAAATACATAGATACAATAAAGTAATAACATCGATATAGAACAACAAGATTATGACAATAGAGGACTTCAGTACAGATTAAGAAAAGCAGAAATAATTCATGTTTTCTGTCGTTTTATTTTCGATAGAGAACATTGAATGTACCCTCCATTTGTCTCCCGTGTTATTCTCTTGATCCAACTTTGTGACCTTCATCCTCAACATTCATTTTCATTTCATTCTTGCTGTATGTGTCAGTATGCTGACCGACCAGATAAGACACTCTAACTGTCTGCTGTGTTTCTTAAGTCTTGTTTGAGATATTATTTACTTTTCAAAGAATAAAACCACAGCACAAACTCGACATTCAGAGGGGTCGACAATTAGCACTAATCCGCTTCTATATATAACATTCTCCGCTCTCCTTGTTTTAGTCTTCAGTCAGATTTTTTGGAACCGTGCTGCTGCAAGGACTTGCTCCAATTTAAACACGAGAGCATTAGCTTAGCATCCAGCAAATGAGGTTAATGAGTGAGGTCTGGATTCAGGTTCATTCAGAAGGTGTTTAATGGGGCTGAGGTCAGGACGGCGTGCAGACCAGTCGAGTTCTTCCACCCCAAAATGTTGAGAAGTCATTTTGTAGAAATAGAAGACAACATTAGAGTACTTACACATGCATGCATCAGTAAGTGAGAGTTTATAGTTTGATCATAAATGAACATGGAAACAACATATTGACTATCAGCGGAAAATCGGTGTCTTGCTCTACCAGACCAGTTTCAAGACTTGGTCAGCACTGAGCCCGACCCAAGTCCCTACCGGCTGAGCTACTGCCGCCCTCTGCAGAATATTATATAAAGTATGATGGCTGATTATACATAAAAATACTCAAACGATCATGTTGAAAAGTTTTCTTTCAACTGATTCAGAATCATGCTGCAGAATTAAGACAAGCTTTAACTGGGGTTAAGAGGTTTTGTCCAAACTATCAAAACAGGCCAGAAAAAAGTGTGTCACCCAGATGTCCACATAGTGAACATTAACTCCATGTTGCTTTAGTTTTGAAATGACATAACATATGTACACAGACTGCTATCAGTCAAGCAAACAGCTGCTGCTTATCAAAGGGGAAAAAAGCTATTTAAAAGACCTTCTGCAGACTGAGCTGGGGTTAATGTGTATCCAATTAAGAGGTGATGGCTTATTAGGAGTCATTAAAGGTAACAAGTAGGTTTTTAAGGAGGTGATGCCGTCTGCTTCTAGTTTACCCCCCGGACAGAAGTTCACCCTCTGTGAATGAATCTCTGGCCGCTCGCCACCACTGCTTCTGAATAGAAATGCCTTTGTCAGGGAACACAGCGTCCTACTCAAATCTCCCGTTACATAAGCGGCGGATGGGTCAGACAGTTTGGGGTTGGCCTTACAAAAGCCTGCATGCCTGCCCATCAAAACAAAGTTAACATGCTTGTATATGGAGGCAATAAAAACCTGCAAACATCATAACAGAATGGTGACACAAATCTTGAACCACAATATATCAAAGCTCACTTCAGCTGTGCCAGCGCTCAGCAGATAATGTGCTGATCCCCGCAAGACAATATGAAAACAAGTCTTAGTCATATTGCTTTCTTAAAATGTCACTGTTTGGGTTTTCTAGTCGCAGTATCAGCTACAGCTAAGCTCTAAAAGGATTCAATCTTCTTCCACTGCAAACTACTTCTGAGCATGACACGCCTGTGATAACAACTAAATATCAGCATCCATTAAATCCAAAGTAGGTGTTTTAGTGCAACACGTTGCCAAGTCACAGCTAAATATGTAAATATTTGAGGACGATGTGTCCTTTGAAAGAGAGTACATGACGTCTACAGGAGCTTCAGCTGGAAAAGGAGAAGACCTAAGCCCCGTTTGAACAGCATGAACCTTCCCCTAGAACGTTTTGTTCCTAGAAGTCGGGACATTTTGAGGACCTGTGTGCATTCGACCGCACGAACCAAAGACTATATTTAGTTCCGGGGTTATTGATCTAAACTTAAAAAAAGACCGTGCCCATGGGGGAGTACTTTCAAAAGGTCTAGGGTCCTTGGATTGCCTGGGCCTACAGCGCTGAACCTCTCTGATTGGTTAGGCACTCACAGTGTTTAAGGTCACCTGCCATGTTTAAGAAGTCGAGTATTTCGGGCGTTTTTAAATCTGCTTTGCTACCAGCACTCGTCTCCTTTCCAGTGTTGAATGAATCCATTTGCAATGCCATACAGCACAATCATACACAGGACAAGCTGAACCTCCACCATGCTAACAGGCTAACTGTACGGTCGCACAAATGATGATGCTGGCCTGACCATCGCCTTGACCATCTTTGTAGCATTGCCTTTGTCTTCTTCTTACAGCCGTCTACTGGACTGGTGGTGTAGTGCAGTAACTTTTATTGCTTCTCGATATGTCATTGGTCTAATTTGCATAATTATCCCAGGTGGAAATGCTGACGACAATAGCCACAGGAACCATTTAGTTCCTCATTGAGTATTTTTTTTTCTGTAGACCTTTGGTTGAAAAAAGAAGCTTGACTGAGGTTTTCCCGAAGGACTAGGAACTTCTGGATGTAATCAAAAGCTCCTCCGAAAAATCTCTTGAAATTTCCGGATTAAGCTGCATGTGTGAATGTGAACAAGTTTTAAACCCTGTATTAACCTGGACTTTTTCCCGCCACCTCAAGAGGTCAGGACGAGCCAATGTGTGAACACAGCAGAAACTCAGGAACTGTATTTCAACGCCAAAAAGTAAAGAGCAGTGCAAACAAAAGTACAGGGACCTTGAGGTATTTAAAAAAATGGCATGGATGTAACAGCTAAAAAGGAATCTAATTGCCTAATCCACAAGGGTCTATAGACCGCCGGGGAATGGTGGAGTAATGGGCTGAAGCTCCTGGAAGTGAAAGTGACTGTTACTGTTGATGGACACAGAACACAAGAAAAACATGTATCAACTGTTGAAACTTGTATTTGGCTACTGGAAAAAGAGAAATATATAGGCCAGGTTATTTCATATTAGCTTGGAGCACTTTAGCTACCCAAATTCCTTACTATTAATGTAATTAACAATATGGATTTTAAAACAGTGGTGTGTTAAAACATCATAAAAAAAACTTAATGTGGGCTGCAGGTTCTCCTTAGTGCCTTAGAACACCTGAGGGGGGTTTCATTTTTGGCTTGTTTCGCCTGAGGCTCCATTTGAATTTCATTTGAAAGGACATTTCTGAATTTTAAAGCAGGTACCTGGGAGATGTCTCAGTCATGCTGGCTCTGGGATTTTGCATTTTCTGCATTGCTCAGAGGTTTAATGGTTATGAACCAGTTGGGTCAAAGTGTAAACTCTCTAATGTTGACGTTTAAGTTTGAGTTTTCCCCTTCTGATTTTTAAACTTCCTCCAAGGAGGTTTTGTTGACAGCTGTATCTTTGTCTTCTGGTGAGCACGATTGCATAATAA